GCACTGGTTCCGGATAGGAACTGGCAGCAGGTGGCGTCAACATATGGTTATATGCATTTAGGCTTCAAGGGGCCTGCCGTCACCATCACTGCTGAGATTAATTACTGAAGACTGGTGTCAATGTTAGGCAGTCGAGGCCTAAGGGAGAAGTCTCGACTATATGTGCTGACAGCCAGCTCACTACACTAAACACAAAAGAAAGAGGAAAAAAATAAAACAATGCTATTAACAACAGAGCTTTCTTTAATGTCCAGAAGTAGCTAAAGCCACGAATTGCAGCAGGCCAAGACAAGTTCCAGGTTCCCAAAGGAAATGAAAAGGCCATTTAAATGATAGCCATTTACATGCACACAATAAAACATGTTTCACAAGTGCTATCCTTGTTTGTTATAATCTTTACAATCTATGCTCCAGTCTGAATGGTAAGGGACTGCATTAACAGAACAATGTCAGACAGCACCATGTTTTTTGGGCAGCACATATGTACAGCGTGATACTATCAGGGAAAATCGGTGTGGTAGAGGAGCTGATGAATTGAGGAGCATCGGATTCCTAGATTTTAAATTGCTTCAACAACTGGTTTCACCAACTCAAAAGTCAAGTAACAAAGGGTATCTAGCCATTCCACACAACTGTTTGGAGAATGCGGTTCGAGATGACAAGATCCACCACCTTGAATGTAACTTGAATACTTAATTTTTATTTCTTCCTCATCTCCTCTCATGAAGGATCACACCCCTGACGAGCAGGCCTCTAATCTCTCATGTCAATTCATTAATTTAAGAACCTGTGCACCTTAGCACAAATAAATGGTTATTTATATGGAAACACACTGTCATATAAAGCAACATACTGTCTTTAACAGCTAATTTAAAAGAGAGACAGCTGTCGATTCTTTCAATCAAATTTCCAATATAAACTGCCATCTCCTAATTTAATTCAAATATTACCACAAACTAATAACACTAATTCTGAGCTGAAAACTGCAGTATATATTTTATATTGTCATCAATGATATGAAACCATCAGAAGTTACAGGTTACAATAAAATTAGGACTGTGGGATTGATCAGTTTAATAACCCAGATTTTAACTTCACAAATAACATTATCATAGATACATGATTGCGAGGAATGGCTCAGTGTCCTTTGTCACTTGACCAGTTGCTGAAACAATAACTTGTGAGACACCTGCCTTATTAAAGACTTAATAACAGTCTTGGCTCAGTGGAATAACTGTATGGTTCCAGAAATAAGGTGGACCACCGATTCATACTATCGGTCACCTAATGGAACATAAAAAAAATAACACACTAGTTTTCAGAATCACAAATGTGTTGTAGGATAAACAAACTAATGGATTACTTCTCATAGAAGACTTTCCGGATTTGGAGGGCTTTTGAACTACAGTATATACTGATCTTTGAAACTGGTACCGACAATCCTTCATTTTTTGGAAAGGGAACACAGAGATTGCTAACATCCCTTACTTGGTTACTTATTCAGATAAACTGACTAGAGACAAGAAACTAAAAAATATAGAATGTAGTTTGTAGTATGTAGCACATTCTATATACTTTCGATTTACTGAAATCGGAAATGAAGCATGTTAGATCAACATTTTAAGGATGGTTAAATTTATTTCTCTTTTATTATGAGTCTGGCTATATTCATATCATTTATTTTTTGAAATACTGTTTTCCAAATTAAGCACAAAATCATGAACTTTGTGAAAATAACTGCTGGTCTAGCCATGGGTGAGAGTGCAAGTTCAGGAGGATTGTGACTTAACCTGGCCCTTCCTGCTCACTAGTTACAGTAATGACTAATGTAATGCGATGTATGAATGAAAAAGTACAGGTTGTGCAGCAGACATTTCACCGCAGAAATGTTCCAATGTGATCTAGATGCAGAGTTAACAAGTAAGGAGTATTTGTCAGTACCTCAAAGTCTAGAGCAATATTTCTATTGGATTAAAAGAGGTGTATTTACTTCACATCACCGGAAGTTTTGAATCAGCCTCGTTATGAATCACAGGCAATGATGGCAATATCACACTGCTTATACCTAGAAATGTTGTCTATTTTGTGATGTAAATTGTAGGTTTTACACATTACGGTGCACATTTTACTTTCATTGTGGTTTGAAATGATGTCATCAAAACCCGATTCTTTATAACCCCCAAATATAAAAATAGCATTGCATTTCCTCTTTAATAATGAAATAACATGTTATAAAATATATAATGTTGTTATAACGATGTTATAAAAATCATCTAACATTTTCTATGATTGCGTGGGGTGTAGGGGGAATGGGATTTAGGATTCGCAAACTTTGTTCAGTTGTTTATCATGTTGTACTGTATTGTTCGCCTTGTAAAACATCAATGAACTAGATAAAAAAAAAATAACATGAAATTCGTGTCAGTTCTATTTATGGTATAGGCTAAAATAAACCATGGAAAGGCTTATCAATGTCACAAACAAGAGCCCTGAGAAACAATATTTCAAAGACTAAGTGAAAATAATCTGTTAACAGGTATCAATGATTTTTGTCATAACGTATTATCTTCCAATATTTGTGTCATTTCAGCCATCTGCTGTGCATAATAGAATAATAGAATCAGGAGATTCTTGGCATTTGTTTCAGAATAATGTGAACTCAAGCACAATTTCCAGGTGTCCACATAAATATGATTGTCATTAAGTCAACATTAATAAGACAACAAAAATATCATCTTAAAACTAAATGATAAAAACTTTCTTACAAATAAACAATATTCTTGGCTTTGCTCAATATTTTGTAGCTGCTGGGAAGCCATTATTCAAATATATACTTAGAGTGCTTGACTTGACCTAAACAGTCATTATGAGATGGATCATGTGACTGTATGCTTTTGCATGGAATGTGAAAAGAAAAGGTTTTGAAATGAGCAAAAACACAGGAAATTTAACACGTATACAATTTAGCACCTTAACATTTTCATTTTAATTATAGTGAATATAGTGAAAATGTACCAAAATAAAGGAAAATTGCAAAGCTAAGATAAATGAAAGGGGTGTTTTACCACATGAAAAACTACTAGACAGTCAGACCTACAGCTGCCTGTGTATTCTGGGTTCTTAAAAAAGAAAAAAAGTGTAATTAAGACATTCTCAACTAACATGGTAAAACAATGTCAGATTACTACTCTTGTTCATTAACAAGCATGTTTTCATCCCATTTTTCTTCATGCTGTATTAATTTATGACAGGGTTCAAGACCGCATGAAATTACAGCTAACAAATTATGGTGGTTAACAAAGGATATTTTGACAGTTTTTGGAAATATTCAAAGCAGGAATCTGCTCCAACGTCTTATAATAATTCTTTCTTTCTACTGTGGGTTACAATTAAGGTTTTCCACAAAGACGCTGAACATGAATAGAAGCTTATAAACTGAGAAGAACTCAAGTGTGAAAAATACTACCTTTGCCAATGACAGGCTCCTTAATGATACACCTAATATCACAGCATTTTTGAAATTTAAAGAATAAAAAGAAAAGACAGAAAATGAAACGAAGGAAAAAATAAGAAAAATTCTACCCAGTGCCCAGTTCTGTGATCACAGGTAAAGAAGAGCTTGGTGACAACGAACATGCTTCACTAATAATAAAAGAAACAAGTTGATAATATAGAAATGCATTGTGCATACATTATGCTATAGATTATTTAGAACAAGTACACATCTTAAGTTTTTTTTGGTAAATATTCATGTTTAAAGTGTATTAATGTCCTTCAACTTGCAAAGACTGTCTATTCTCTCAAAGAGCTCATCATAAGGTGCTGTCAGTAATATCCACCCCCTCCCCTAACAAAATACATTCAGAACAAGAAGAATAATTCTGAATTAATTAAGATGTTCCAGCAGAAGAGGGAAATGAAGTTATAAAAAACACTGAAATGTGCATTTCTTTCTTGCTCCATTGATAAACGTACTGAAACAGTCAAACACAGCAGAAAGAATGCAAGGTTTGTTTGTGATAAAGCCCATAATGGTTTTGAGATTACAGGTGAGGCCTTTGATAGGTGGAAAATTATTTCAGACAGGTATTGCTGTATTAAGTGGCTGTGCCTTTCTGCTGAACAAAAAGATTATGTAACGTAAAACAACAAACTCAGCCCGGTCTCTTATTTATTACAGCTCCTCATGGTACTACGAGCAGACTTTAACAACTCTTTATTCACAAAGAATGCATTTCTGCCGTAATTATTCTGGAAATAAACATTTAAAGTAATCCAAAATCCATCTCAGAGTCACAGCATCTGATCGGTGTACATCCTGGTTTCGTATTATATGTATTGGGGATGTGAAACTGCATTGAAGGGGTCTCCCCAAATGGTCATCACAAATAAATCTGGGTGGCCTGGAACAACTGGGGGACAGTACCTTCCCACAGTACAAGAGCCAACAACCTGTCAGTTATGAGTCCAACAGCTTACCCACAATGGTATGTGTTACCAAATGAATCTGTACAAAGTAATATATACTTACACAGTCTAATACAGATAAAAAAGAAAGCAAATACTAGCATTTTTTACATTCATTTTGTGTGTGTGGAAAACAATGGTGTTAACATAATGATCTTTTCAGCTTAAGAATGTTTACCTGTCTTTTAGACATAAAAAATTACGGTAACTAAGGAAAAGACAAAAAAAAGAAGGTCAGACCGCACAACTGAAGCAATTTACAGCATACCTAGATGAGATAATTAATGTGCTGTTAGAGCTCAATAGCAGTCACTCAAAGTAAAATATCGAATACATAAAAAACTAGACAAGACTCTGACTCCAGCTAACCAGCCTTAATTGGGATTAATACATGGAGAGTGAGGTCACACTGAAGCAGTAAAATTGCAGATTTGAAAGACCGTATAAACTGTAGAAGCTAGATTAGAATCAATATTATAGACACTTTAAAAAATGCTCGATATTTTCTTTCATTGCTTTTCAGAAATACTTACTGATGAATACGCTGTAAGGGCAAGTTGAGCAGTTCTTCCAGTTTTAAACCTCTGAACTCAGGCCTGGCCTCCTGGATCTTCTTAAAACGAGCAAAAGCCTTGTTTTTTTTCACCTGCACCTATTTGGGTTGGGTGTACATAGATTATTTAAAGAATTAGTCATTTAAGCAGCTTTACAAGTTAGAATGACAACACTGCATGTACTGTAGCACGTTTCACTTGAGTAAGTTCTAAATTGTTTGGCACCATCCTTTGCTGCAACATACTTATTGGACAATGCAAAGGTGAGTTTGTGAATCTGACACATTGTGACTCTTTTGGTAGGAATCCACAAATCCACAAGAAAACGGGCTGGGCTGCAGCATGCGCAATGCAACAACATACTTAAGCCTTGTGCTGCTCAAGAACAGCAGACCCCATTGTATGGACTGGGATGCCTCTGTCCACCTTCACACTGATCGGATGTGCACTTCTGTAGCACACACACCATCCAAACAGTAATATAGCCATCTCAATGGATACTGTACATCACTAGTGTGATGCACATGAAGAGGGACCCTTTCTTGCAAATGCTGATATGTTTGGTAGACTTTTCAATTCCTTTAAAGATAGCCAGAACTAAGAGTGAAAACAGGCTTAACTGACAATGTACTCCAATCACAGGAGAACAACTGTTAAACATGTATATCATACAGTATATTGTCGGTTAAGGGCATTTTTACTTCTCATTATCAGTCTGTTCTGTGCCGCTGTGTTAAAATAAGACCTAACTGTTTTTTGGACACTGGTATATGCTCTTTGATTTTTGTAGACAGCATTATAATTTAGTTTTCACAAACTTTTTCACGGTATTGCTCTGGTGATTTCATGTAAGCTGTATAAGAAACCCACAACAAAACATTGTTCCATTCTGCAATATCTTGATTATCAGAGGATTTCAACAACATACATTACATGTAATTGACTTCCTTCAAATCCAGAGAATTTTCGTTACCTAAATAAGGACTAAGTTTACTTGATTCACCTTAGATTTCACTTACAAATATTACTATAAGACAAGAGGCACTGGAAAATGAACCAGAGAAGACTTACAGTTTTGTGATTCACATCCTTTGAACAATCTAACGCAATAAAATAGAAAGAGGGAAACATTTTAACATTGATGCAGACCCATGAAGGTCTTTACTATTTGCCTAGCCAACACTGCTTAAGCAAGTGTTATGATAATACGGACAATCTGAATTCCAGGCTTTTAAAAAATACATGCATTTCTGTACTGACTATCCATGCTACATACTAATGCATGGATGCATATTTTAATATATATCATCTGCTGATGGTTGCAGGATGCCAACAAAAGGGACATTTGGTAACATTTAAAATGTGCTAATTGAGCTTGGTTACATTATCATGCAAAACAATGAGACTGAAGGTTGAAAAGGACAAACCAACTATTCTCTGTCACACCGCTGTAATTATGCAGCCCCATGTTCCAACAATTACATTTATGTAGACCCACTGGTAAAATCAATGTTACTTGTACAGCTAGTCCTTAATCAATGAAATCAGTCAATTTACCATGGTCACATCCTTCTTCTTAATTAAGACAGTGATATCTCTGGAGCTCAGGGTCTCAAAGAGATAAATAAGTACAGAGGTTAGGAAATGTCAAAGAGGTGACTCCCTGATTTTACTCATCGTGAAGTTTGAGGAAATAAGACAGTTTCTCATAATAAAGGTGTTTCAGGCGCGTATCGTAGCCTCACAAAGAGCTAGCTCACCATTCATTAACAAAGAGCAGGTACCAGCATCTGACAGCCCAAGCACTAATGAGCGGAAAGCCCCTTCAACATGCATATCCTTCATAGACACACACTAAATTATGAAGGTTGTGCCACTTAAGCCAATTTTAATTGGATGCAGTGCAGGCCTTAATCGGACAGTTAGCCTTTCTTTTCCAAAATCCATTTCCAGATGGTGTCATCTGGTTGTCATAATCAAAATGGCAAGAGAGATGGAGTGACCTATTTTAAATGCCCACAGTGTAGGGTAGATCCGGCACTTCATAGTCAATGTGTGCAGACCTATTCACACTACCTTTGGTTCTCCTGAAGGAGGATCTTGTGAACAACAAGGTGTAGGAGGTTTTTTGGAGGAAGGAGGGAGGCTGAAAAAGTACACTGTTGTGAGATAAAACAGCATATGAATGACAACACTAATGAGCTTTAAAGGACTACTAAACACTTTATTTGTATTTGGCTGATAGAAAACAAATACGAGTTGAAAAATCTGGGGTTTCTTGTCGCAACAGAAACCTTTCCTTCGCTGAAATTCAGTATGGGAAAATAAAATGTTTTAAAATGTCCCAGTCTTTCAGTTCTTCCAGGAACTCCAATTCCCAAGAGTAACATACAATGGAAGTTTTATAAAGGTGCAGTTTTCTTCATCATTGGAAGGATTTATGACAGCCACGAATGGCCATGTCTTTTAGTGTTTCACAGAACCACTGTGGCCCTGGGGGAGCTCTTGGTTACAAAAAGTACTGTTAACTCTTAATTTGCATCCAGTATGTTAAAATAAATCATTTCCATTTAACCATATAACAACCTGGCACCACTCTCAAAGAAGCTTTCGCAATCTCCTTGCCATCATTACCACACATAATATTAGTCCACTTTAAACTAGTTTGAACTATGAATTATCACAAGTAATCTTACACCATAACATTCATTGCAATTCGCTCAAAACAAAACGGATTGTTGTTTCCACCTTATAATATTGTATGTGTATTTTACATGGTAAAATGCTATAAAATACTTTAAAACCAAGGATTCAATATTTTTAAGGTAAAAGACTTCCTAATTGACAACCTGGCTTGGAGACAAAAGATGGAAGAGGTGTTCTAAAGCTATCAGATAAAGACTAATTAAAAAGCACTACAATATAAAGGAGAAGTGTATACCACCAGTTATTAAAACATTGCATTACAATTTCTATGAATTGCAAGGCTTAAATTAAAGTATATGGGACTGCTAACTTAGGAAATCAAAAGCCATTTCTTATCACAATTAAAAAACGATTGTAATGAAAACACAAGCCCCTTTAAGCCTCCTCAAGGCTTTGTCAAAAACAAACGTCAGTACCACATTTATTGAAACAAAACAGAAAAGAGTACCAACAGGCTTTCTATGGCTCAAAGCAGAATACTCATTGGATCTGGTGGGCCTTGAGGAAACAGGTAGTTTCTCTGTGAAAACTTACTTTAAATCTAGAGCCTCAAGCTGCTCCTTATTTCACATGATCAGCGCCAACGTGGTCTACGTTTGTACACATACACTCACAAATTTGACAGACTACACAGCCGTCTCTGTTACACAGATTTACCTGAAGAACTTTGAAGGCCGTCTCAATGTTGTCCACAAAGGTGATGTAAAAATGCAGATGAGGGCAGAAAGTTTCAAAGCCCAGTCCAAACTTCCCCTCTTCCAAATAGGCCAGCAATGTCCTGAGTGATGGCAATGTTAAACAAAAGGAAAAAGGAAAAAGAAAACACTCAGGAAAAAGAAAAACAGAATTCCTAGTCTTCCAAATCTAAAGATAAATAGTGAGTCATGACATCATCATTTGATTAAAAAGCTAACAAGACAGGAAGTGATAGACTAACTGAAGCACTGTGGACACCTCCTGAATATAGTAGTAAGCTCCAAACCTCAATAGAACAATTTATGTTCCTTAAACCTATACCAATTACACTGAACACTGAAGAAAAATCTGCTATGAGGCACACATCTATCTCTGTGTCAGCCATTTTCAAGGGCCATGTGTTTTTTTAAATAAATCTTCTGTTTGTAACAAAAGAAATGAACAATTGTAGAACAGTGCTCCAGTAAGTAAAGACACATAAGCCTGCAATGCTAGTACTCTTTTTCAGACTTACAATGTCTATATTTCAATATAATCCCCCTATACAGAAACACATCCTTCTCATCTTGCTCTGAGCTTTCATGATTCTGCATCAAAGAATTCTTAAGGTTGATGTCATAGACACAACATAGGGATTTATTCACAGGTATGTTACCATTTAAACCAAAAGATTGTCATCGGGACTTTCACCACCCAAAACTCAGGTTTAAGCGTGTGTCATTTGGTGAATCTGTAAGCTTCGGTTTCATTTTTTTTTCTCTGATTTGAAGTGGTAGACGCAAGATTCTTCATATTATTCACTGTGCGTCACGCTCAATTTTGAGTATCAGTGCATGTTCTCCACCTATGTAATTTTATTTGTTTAGGTGAACATTCACGGAACCCATTAGGTATTGTTCCTCAATCGTACAGTTTGCTGCTATTGCCAGTATGTTTGGACCATAGCCAGTGCCCTTTATGTAGGACCTCTGTTAAATTGCTAAGAATTTAAAAAGTCTAGGTGGCAATTTCACTCCATGAAAGATAAACCAAACGTTCGAGAAACTATAAGTTAGAATGTCTTTATCTGAAATACTGCCATACTGTACGTATGTCAATTCTAAAATCCTTTTACAATTATGCACCTAAGTTGGCGCAAATGATTTTAATGTAATTTCCCACTCTTACACTCGAAAGAAAGTTGTGCAAAATAAAAGAATGTTTGCGGCATAAACCTCTTCAAAAATGGATTCATCGCATCCCGTCCCCCTTTCCAGCTCCGACTCTATAATTAAAACAAGTCACATACACACAGTTTCACTTCATCTTCTTAACAAATCAGTTTACTTGTCATGTAAAGCCAGCTCTTCTTATTAGGAAAAAAGTAAAAAATAAAAAAACAACTGAATGAGGAAGCCAGCCAACTGTTTTGAAGTCTTGCTAATTTAAAAAAAAAAAAATGAACACACTTGTGTAAATGTGGGGAAAAAAAGGGCTTTAACGTGCCGAGCTGTAATACTCAGTGTTTCTGAATTGCTCTGAAAGAGTGATAAAGAGAGAAATGTTTACATATTTTTTTATCTCAGACAGGAATGCTGAAATGTTCCACAAAATATAGTCATGGAAGAATGACTGCTGAGGGCTGAGGTATTTATTGGGCTACAGGCAGTGGTCCTGCCCTGAGGGTACTGCAACAAACTTTACAGTGTGACAGTGTTTGCTGCATTCAAGAACAAAAATACATTAAAGAAAAAAAAAAATCAATCAACCTGGCTGTCAGGGCTGTTACAATGAAATGAATAAATGGGGATTTCATCAGATTGTTGACACCTGCAATGAGCTTATTATCTAAAATGTGAAAAACATACACACATCACCACCCCTATTCCTAACAATGTTCCCTGGGATTTTACATGTTTAAAGTAGGTGCGCTGCGCAGTGAAGTTGATTTAAATAGATTTTAATGAAGTTGTGAGCCGAGGTAGGCTCTGTTTATAATCAAGAGATACCATCAGAACCGAGAGCTTCCTAATGAGGGCAGAGGCCATTGAAAACAGCATTTCCTTTTTTTTCATGCAGCTAGCGGCTATTTTATTATCATACAGTTATTCATACACATTGTGTGTGTTTTTCTGGTGTGGATGTTTGAATTCTGGGCAAGATGATTCTTTGAATTTTGGGATGATGCATCTAGGGTTGCAAAAAAATGCATGCATCAAATTAATATCATTCCATTTTTAATATGCTACAAATTCAGAAGAAATAAGGAGGACGGGTTCAGACAAAACAATGCCATTCTGCGTTATTTTGTTTGTTTTCGGTTAAATCCAGTTGTAAAATTCCTTAAATTATTATTCAGTACTGACTTTGTAGACACTGTTTGCTTGTGCTTAATGAAGCATTTGCTCTGTAGGCATAGTTGCTTTTGTCTGGGTACAAGGTAGATGGAGTAATTGTCAGTTTCTGTTTTAGCGTGACTCCTTTGGTAAACAGTAGGAGTGATTGCCAACTACTGTATTTGATGGAGTTGCAAAGGTTTACTTTGCAGTGGAGCTGAAAACCTGCTTCCCAAGACCACATTTGTCCTTTTTGTGTGTATTCTGAAATTACACCCTGCAGCTGTGGAATGAGTTCACTAAGTACAGTAGCAAACACCAAGTGCAATTAAACAGTTTAAGCTGCACAAAGTTAGTTTATTATTTTCTTTGGAGGGGGGATATAATTTAAACTGTTCAGTTTGCAGCTTTGTTACGTTAAAAGTGTTAATATCATTACCTCACCTATGTTCTGTTTCTTTGCGAGATCGCTCTCTGAACTGCACTTAGATTCTGGACAATTTTCTGCATGTTTTTGTGTATAAAATAGGTATCGTTCCAGTCAAATCAGTTGCATCAAAGGACACTGAAAGTAGTAAGTGGCTGCTGATTGTACTGTACACAAAGAAATCAATATCTGCAGCTATAACTAAGTCTGACTTAAGCACTGCAATTCTGACAAGAATGATTTAGTGCATAAGCATAAGAAATGTAATATTATGTTTCACTTATACTTTTACACTGTTTAAGAGGGGTGTGCGTATCACACCAAGCTTCCTGAAATGAATCTGAATAGAAAAAAATGCTTCCTAAATGTTCTGCAGTAACAAGCCATGCCCAAAAGAACAGCTTTTACAAATAAGAGGGGACATGATAGAATTCTCTCGCACGCGTTAAGAAGTGTCCTCCACATCCATTTCTGTAGCATTTTGGTTATCTGTTCAAGGAAGGATAAAGATATTTAACAAGGTAAGATTCTAAGCAGGGAAAAATGAGAAACATATTCCATGTCCCAAGTCATTGACCTGTGGCACATGCATATTTGCCCACCACATTTTCAGTAAGCAATTCAAACCCAGTTCGCAAATATAACATTCAGGAAATCAATACATAAAGTTTTAGAAAAAAATCTATTTCTCAAACTAGGTACCTTTAAGACATTCAATTATGCTCTAATTTTATTCAATATTTTTCACAGTGACAAGGATCTCTTTCTGACATGCAGAATATTATTTGATCTATTTTCAAACCACATTTATTCTCATTAAGAAACCCCCTAGACGGTTTCTTTCAGAATATTTATTTTTCAAATACTTTTTGAAATTGTGCTACTTACTCGATAAAGTGACAGCACTTTCAAGTACTTTATTATAGTTTGTTACAGAGCAGAAACCCAATTATCCTTGCCTGCTATCATGCCTGGTCCCCAAACTCAATAAACAGCTATAATGATGATCTATGGTATCATCAAATCAATATATTCAAATCAGAAGACTTTCTAATTTTGCAATGTTTATTAAGAGATGAATTCATTAAAGTTAATTCAACATCATGATCAGTGTGTGAGTTAGCAAATACAAAATAAATCACAAAAATTAAAAATAGATTTTTTTATATTTAGGTAAGATGTTTGTTAGAGCATGCCTCTGTGACAGTTGTTTTTTCATATTTTTAATGCTTTATGAATTTCACTCTGAGATGTTTTGGCTCATTTTCTGAATTTTCTCTTGCAGTGTGATCAACAACTTAGAATGCTTTAGACTAGACTTTAGAAAAAAAGGAAAAAATCTCAAATAAATCTCACAGTGTTTCAGACAAAATCAGACAAAAAAGTTTATAAAGAAGTCTCTTTGTGCATAAAAATCCAGGTTTGTTTTTTATTTACACTTAAATATGCATATCTCAACAGTGTAAGAGAATTATGCATTTGTTCTGAACATTATTTCATACTTTATACATGTTTAAAATACATTGAAGACGAAAACTTATTTATTCATGGATCTTACAACCACAGACTATAGCAGCACACAAACATCTAAGCGTGTATATTTGCCCTGACAAGCTAATATAATGGAGAGTATCACATTATTAGTCAGTGTATTCTAGAATTTCTGTTCTAAACAAGTCTGTAAAAAAGTTATTTTTCAACAACTGCTCATTTTTTCCACTTGAAACTATTTGTCTTCAAACACTGCCTGAAATGTGGAACTGTCAAATATGCCACTGTTCATTTTAAAATGACCAACAAAAAAGGCCCATTCAGTGTATCAATTTCCATGTTACTGGATATAAAAAATGAAGAGCATCCTTTCAAATCATGGTTTGCAAAGGATTACAAATTAGGGCTGGTCAAACACAGAGAAGATCCAGCAACCTCTCAAAACATGGACAAGATTTCATCCAGGAAACCCAATACATTTTAAATTACAGAGTTACAGGTAAAGGACTTTTTTTTCCATGTAATCGGTTATAAAGTTAGGATAATGTAAATAATGCTCCTCCTGCACAATGTTATACACTTTAACCTGTAAGATACAAATATTATCATAAATCACTAACATTAAAATACAGCTCAAGTGTAGTGATAAATTAAACTCTATGCTCTTGATATCAAAACTGCCTTTTAACGTAAATATTTTTCAAAAGATGATGTCATCTTAGCAAGGTCCAGGATTTTCTTTGATTAATGGGCATTGAAGGAAGTATTCTCGAATGTGTTTCTTAAAACATTTATTTGTAATGCCCTGTTCATTTGTCCTTAAACATCATCTTAGTGAATAAAACTACAGACAAATCCAACAAACACTGACATGGTCAATCTCTACACAATTAGAAAGACACAGGTCATCAGAGGCTGAAATTTTACAAAAGACACTTGGTGCTGTAAAACGTGAAAGCAACAGACCTCTGAGAGGGTTTTCTGGGATAAAAAGCAATGGATGGTTAACGTAGGACTACATTTCACCACACACCGAAAGAAATTGTTAATGTGGTGATTTTAGAATCATGTAAACTGGGCTTTACTGCAGTTGTATGTCTGCTGCTTGTGAATATGCAGCTTCTCTTAGCATCATCCTGTCTTCATCCTGGTGCAGACCCGTCAGTCTTATACTGCTTAATTTAATGCTTAAACATTTAGAGTGCACAGCCATCCATCACTTTAAATGTGATGAAGTTTTCAGACATAAGTTCATTTTGCATAAGATTAGAAATCATCACATTAAAAGCCGGTTTAATTATTATTTTGGCATTAGTCAAATTTCTGTGCAGATTTACGCCAGATAATTTTCTCAGTGGTCATCTCCCAGTGTTAGCAGACATAGAATATTACAACGGCTGTGTAACCAAGAATATAACACGCGTGATCAAAAGTTACAATGTCGTCAAGAAAGCCTGGGTTTACAAAAACAAGCACTATGATCATACATCAAAAAGCATTTGAAATGTTTGTATAAAATTTTGCTTAGAATCTGTCCTCCACAGGATGCATGTACTGTATGCACTGCATTTCATGAGATGGTCATGTCAAAATAGAGCCGGTTTCACTTGGAATTAAGTTAATACTAGACAAGGATTCCTACTTTTTAATCTTTCAAAACTTATGTTTACTTATTTCTGAAACATTCAGACTAGGACAGACACACTAAGCTTTGCGTATTTGTCCAAAATATAGAATAAAATTTGCTCTCTCTTCTTAAAACCCTAGTTAGAATACCAGCATATTATTTTCACATTATCACGAGGCCTAACCATGACTGACCATTATTGAATCTATCGTCCAGAGCAAGACCAGGGACACTGACTACTGCATATTTCTCTAAATTGTCAGGGTGAACTTACAAAATATGCATTACATCTCAGTGTTTTCCCAAATTCAAATCCACGCTAAATGAAATTTCAGAATGAACACATCCAGATATTTTTGGTACATATTAGGATATATGAATTCCTTATAGCCTGGCCACTGAAACATAAAGAAAAGGCTATACACCTATACTTTTTAAATTTTAAATTCTTGCATTACCCATTGCCAAGTTAATCAAAGATTGAACCAATATAACTACATTACTCTGGGTCTGCTCCAGGCTGTATTTTAACCATCCTTTTCAGATGTCTCCATTGCTTTGCTTCATACAATCCAAGTGCCCGACACCCAGTTCCAAACTTGCAGCTGCTCCATTTTCCATTAGTAACTCAGCTAAATTGAACAATTGGCTCCTGGCACCTCATTATGGAAATAAGACTACTGCATTATGCTTGGGTGATCACAGGGTGGTTAAGTAATGGTCAGATGTGCAGTGTTCTACTGTAACATAAGCTGTCATTTTCTGAAAACAATATTTAATGTTTTTGTAAATGGTTAAATGAAGGACAAATTTATCAGTGAAAGTCTAGGACTGCATTTCTGATACGCAGCTTAACATATCAATGTTATAAGTATATTCTGCAGTGTTTTGCCCAGGTCAAAACCGCCTTTTCCCTGTTGATGTATTTATTGTTATACTGAAGAAATAGGATTAAATTATTTTGTGTAATTAAATCCCATTTCTTCGGTACAACAATAAATACATCAACAGGGAAATAATTCTACGGGATTCTAAACAGTGTAGCTGTCTCCTTGATACACTAGGAATGCAACAAATATTTAGGCTGTTAAATTTGCAGTTTTGAACCAAAATACTTAAAATGAGTACTCAAACCTACTAAAATTCGTATTAAAGAATTCACAGACGATGGTTATCAACTGTCCCACTCTTAAATATGTTTGCTCTTTGATATCTCAATATCCGATTGTCAAAATACAATTTTACAAAATACCTCAAATCAAATAAGACTTTTTAGATGTGCAGAATTTCCACGGAATATTGGTACTACTATCATACCAGTATTACACCTCCTAAACTATTTTTAGATGGAATGGTCTTGTCTTGTAAATTATGAAGCATTCTTCCTCTGATGAACTTTAAATCTACAACGGCAACAGATTTCATTTTCTTTTCTGGCTTTTTTATTCTGATATTGATTATGCGTTCTTAGATTGTTCCTCTTTGAACTTTCACTTGCCCTACAGTGCTCTTTGAACACTGAGAAATAATTTTATACATTTGTATAATACTCTTTATATGGGTGAAAGGTTCAGAGCATAAAGGGTTGTGTTTTCCGAAGTCCACCAATTTAGTGTAAAAAACAGGTTTGGTTTGTGGTATTAAAAATAAATGCAACCAATCAATCTTAAGACAGCACCAAAAATTCAACATTAATGTATTTAATGCTTGCTCCCAATTCTACTTGGGGAGGAAAAATAAAAGTACCAAAACAAATACCTCCTAGAACAAAGACGTTAAAATGAAACTGTACATCAGGGTAATATGTTGTACTCAACAATTTGGATTTAGTGCCCTCATCGATTTAAAATATCTTGTTTACTCAAACAGATAAAACAAGGCATGCACTCCGAGTTCATCATTACTTCATTAATATGTAAGTCACCAATTATTTTTTCCCTCTCCAAAGAATAAATATTCGATAAATTATTTAAATGATACTTACTGGTTTACTGAATGAATGGATTTAATTGAGCTGAAGATGCTTTCTCTAATGTCCTGCCTCAGGGTTCCCTTCGCTTTTAAAATCTCAACAAAATACTGAAAGACAACAAAAAAGAAAGGAAAAATGAATTTTCATCTTTTTTCTGCATTTGTATAAAGTCTACCGATTTCCATTAAGTTATTTCATCAACACAAGAACTGCAGATGAAGTGTAAAGCATTTAAAAGTCTTGATATCCCAGTTGTTTGGACCAATTTAATATGTGGTACAAAATAAACACAAAGATTTGCGAGAACAGACGTAAGTACATCAAACACTAGATGTATATGGTCATTTTAAATCATATAGTTCCTATTATAGAAACTTATTGTCATGGTCAATCAGTTCAAGAAGGAGGGAATGATCCCAAACCCCTCTTGTCTGCAGTCATGTAATGAGTTACTGTGTGCATTTGCACAAAGAACACTGAATGGGCCATCCATGGAACAATGACATAATAGACGTATAATATATTGGAAAAGTATTTAAGTCTTTCCTATGGTTAAAATAAGATCAAATAATATGATGCACAAACATTTTTTAAACCGAATGTATTATTCAAAATTTGAATGTTCAAACTGAAGATTTCTAAGGGTAAGAGAAGTTAAAGGAAATGTCAACAAAAACTAAAGAGGAAAACAATGAAATATTTTTGATTGTATAAGAATTCAAACCAGTAACTCCATATTTGGTGGGAGCACCATTGGCAGTAATCACAGCCGTAAGTCTTTTTGGTTAAGCCTCTATCAACCTTGCACACTGCGCTGGTGCAATTCTTAACCATTCTTCTACACAGATTTGCTCTGGCTCTCTCGTGGTGATCTCTTACATACAGCAGCTTCCAAGTGTTTCCACAGATTATTAATATGATTCAAGTCAGGACTTTGACTGGGCCACTCAAGGACATTTACTTTTATATTCTTAAGGCACTCCAGCACAGCTATCTCTATCTATGTTTCATTAGTCTTTACAAGCTTCCCCACTGATGAGAAGCAGAACCATAACATAATGCTAAAACCATCATGCTTGACAGTTGGGATGGGGGATGGTGCCGACTGAGTGATGAACTATGTTGGCTTTCCCAGATCTAACACTTTGCAATTAGACACAAAACATTCTAGTTTTGACTAGGCTTCGTTGAAAACCCCATGCAGGATCTGAGATGGTTGATTCTTCAGTTCCACACAGGTAACCTTTTTAGAGCGATCAGGGTGTTGACCCATTGTCATTTTTTCCCCATCTCAGCCACTGACCTCTGTAGCTTTCAAAGTTTACTGAACATATGAACATACTGTAGAGTTTCTATTTCTACCTCATTCATCTTTGTATGTAATTGCTAGAATGACTAAAACCATCTCAACCATGTTAACAGTTAGCAACAGTTATCACCATGTTAATGAGTGTTATCAACATCGTTTCAAAACAACAAGACTTTCTTGATTATAAATAATCAAATGATTGATTTTGAATTATCTGCTGCTCTATATTTCCTCTGGGATGACTCAGTTCATTAAAAAATGTAGCACCCTACAGTTTGTTTGCTCATAATATAGTGCCTTGAATTTTTTATACTCGTATTTCTGTTTATTTGCAATTAATATATCATGATCTATCCTTATGATCAAAGAGGGCCAAAATATTAATTTACAAATGACTAAAAATCACTTTAATGACAGAAATGAGATTACTCAAAATCCCCGCTTCATAATGAATAATATCCCCAAATAAGAAAAAGAATGTCAGAATGTTTATTGAGGAGCCAGGAATAAGTAGCTTTGTCTTACGCCAGCTGGCTATAGGATGAGGGGGTCTAGACCCCCATACAGAGAGATAAGTTAACCAAGGGGTAGCAGCAAATATGGAGATGTGGTGGAGTAGAAAAGCAGAAATACAACTGCGAGCAAGAGACAGAGGCTTACTGCGGTATTTTAAGCTTTTAGGAAGCAATGTCTTGGAGAGTACAAATAGTGGAGATGAGGAAGGCTTTGGTTGCTGAAATTCCTCCCTAACATTTGTTAAAAACCATTCAAACGTGCAAACTTCATTATTTACCAATGATTATTATTTGGAGGGTTATTTTTGAATAAATTATGAATATAAAATTTTTGTGATATAATAAATTGTACAATGTATTTTCTTTTACACATGTACATACTTTAAAAAATGTTCATTGGAATATATATTGGTCATTGTAAATCTGGTGCTTCTTTATTCTACCGATAGCAACAATTAAATGAGGAAGATTCATCTCAAATGCACCATTCAACATAGCTCTTCACGAAAAAGATTAATTCTCCGGGACAGGATTACGTCATCCAAAACAGGCATAAAAACATTCTTCTTGTTTTCAGCACCTCCAAAAGAGCAGGAAAAAACACAATGTGTAAAAACTAACCATTGTCACCAGCTCCAGTTTTTCACAATATCTCTGTTCGGTCTCAGCAAGCTCGCGAGCAGCGCGGTTTCGCTTCCTCTGCCAGCGATCTCTCTGCTCCTGCACGGTGTCGGCTGGTCCCACGTGTTTCAGATGAACACTCATTGCTGTCGGGGTGGAGAGGTGTTCACTCACATTAACAGCTGGAAACAGAGAAAACAAAGTTTTGGGGTTTTATTACACTGTTCAACAGGTTTCCCATCCTTTCATTTTCCAACCACTTCCCCCAATTCAAGACAGCGGGGGAGCCAAAATCGTAGCTCAGCAAGCAACAGGCGCAGGGCAGGCTACACCCTGGGTTGGACACCAGAACATCATGGGACACAGAGACACAAACACTCACACCAGAGCCCCTATTTTCCCAGAAGTCAATTGACCTACCAGTATATCTTTAGACTGTGGGAGGAAACCTATGTGAACATGGGCAGATCATACAAACTCCACAGGGAGTGCCTCCAGGAACTCAACCCAGGGCCCCAGCGCTGTAAGGCAACTATGCTAACCACTGTGCTGCCCCAAATTTCACATAATAAAGAATAATTCCACACAAAATAAACCTACCGCTGATTAAATACTTTATTTTTTTGTCCGGAATTTCACAGACGCACCATGACCATTTTGGAGTTACAAAAAGACTATCTCTGTAGGTTTAAAAAATAAGAACATCCATTGCTGGCAACAAAAGTTAGCTCCTTGCTTTGTAGTAAAAAATAAATGGACCTAAAAATAAGACAATAAAGGACTTTAATAACAGCACTGTGCTGTAAAATATCTACTCAAACATAACTTTATGAACAGACCCCGGATATAAGAACCATATGCACTATGTGGTTATTACTGGACATTTTACACTACTACTAATCTGCATATGACAAGCAAGTTTTTTTTTTTAAGGAAAATTTATTTACGAGGAAGATGGATGTAACAGGGTTAGAAGCCATTAATATTATAGGTCTCAAAGCCCCAGGAAACTCTAAACGATGAAAATACATGACATCGCAGTCTGACATTTGCCATCCAGTGCTTCGATTCTACCATTTTATAGAAAACATATCAGACCCATATAAATGCAAAACTCTTTTAATTGTTTTTTTTTATAAACTGTTGAAACCTAACAGGTCTTATGGAAAAAAAATATCCTCAATATTAAAATATTTAATTTTACTATCCTAACATCCCTTTAGTTTATTGCATTTAACTCATAGTTACATTTAATGTCCCAGATGTGAAATTTGCTTTTTGCAGGCAGCTTAAGGACACAACACAATACATTGAAAATAACAGGAACCCATTAATGAATGAGACCCATACGAGTGCGATGAGAGAAAATATATACAAATATATATATATACAAAAGAAGTCAAATGTTGCAATTATCCAAATTAAACAGGTTAAATAGCTGTGGAATTAAAAGATAACTTGGATCTATTGCACTTGAATCTAGGTTGTCTACATCAGTACCCAGAGTGAAGGAGCTCAGGTTCACTGTGGGATGGTCACAACAGTCAATTAACTATATTGACCTTCCACACCACTCGCTTGATGGAGATGTCTGAAAACTGGAGCGGTTGCACCAATAATTTGCTGGTTACTTTCACAATCCGGCTCAATCTTTTTTAGTTGTGTATGTTAAAGTTGCCAAACCAGGCTACTGCAGTGAATGTTAGGACAGATTCAATTATTGTACAAGTTATTGTTATACACACATTAGTGGGTAAGGACTTACTTGAAACCCTTCAAAACCATTTGCACTTTCTAGTTTTAAAAATCATTCTTATATCTTGTTCATTGATGATTAACACAGTCTATAAAAGTTACTTCATAATTGCATGTACACCGATTATGAACACAAAACACATGTTGAACATAGTGTAACCACGATCCAACTATAATGGTGAGCCTACAGTTTAAACATAAGCTTTTGTCCTCCAGCAAGACTATTTTACTGTTTCTAAGGACCCAGAAGATAAGCATTCCAAGTTTCTGAAAAGAAAAAAAAAACAGTACAATCTTTTCATTTAAGAAAAAGGGCAAACTAGGAACAATTTACTGAATAAAATTTAGAATAATTTAACTTACATTTTGTACATAAGCTACCCCTCAGTGCCTCAGCTGTGTATTATATAGTGTCACTGACAAATAGGTTATTTTGCATTAATGTACTGTGAGCTGTATGATAAAACAGTGGGGGGCAAAGCACTGTCATGCATTCAAGAGAAATATAAACTACATAAACTGTGAAACACTATGCCATTATTATAGACAGAGAGAAAGAAAAGCCATTGTTACTAAATACATGTAATGCTCCTCAGCTGTTCTGTGGGAGGCCACAAGTAGACAAGGCAATGTCAGAGCTGATCAAAACTGCAGCTACGGCATTGAAACGTATCTCCATTTCCGAATGTGTATGTCTTTATTCTTTAACCCATTCTGCCAAGGGGTGATGACTTTCTCCTCTTTCCCCGATATCTATATGACTTTCATGCAGATGCAGCTGCAATTTTAAAAGTATTTCACTCACTGAATAGTCTGCAGTACTACATTTGAAGCAAAAAAAATCAATCATGTCAAGTGCACAGGGAGGTCACTAAGGCTGTCAATTTCAATCAAATCTGTAATTAAATACATCTCCCAATATAGATTTTTTTATATATTTATTTTGTGTGTTTAAAAATGCCATTTATTCTTCAGATATTTCTTGCTGTGGTGAATCCCTGATCAGGCCACTGATCTATAACATTAAGCAAAGGCTGTGATTGCCGTTGTTGTTAGCACATTACACTTACTTTGTTTTTAATTGGGAATATGACACCTAAAACCAGGGATGTCAAATATAGATCTGGGACCATAGCGATCCTGTATATAACCACTCTCTGTGATTCTCTACCTCTATCCAATCACAGTCTCCCTGTTTGATGTTGTCACAGATCTAAAGTAAATGGGCTGTCTTTGCATATAAGAGTGGGGGAAAAATGACACACACTTGCCCTAAATTGTTAGGCAACCTCAGCAACTAAATCCACATTGGGCCCATGGAAAGAGTACCTAGTGAGTTATTTTACAAATTCCTATTCATATTTTTGAAAACAATAATAATGTATTTATGTTACTAAAAAAGAAAGATAAATTTAATGTGGTTAAGGAGAGGTGGAGAAATTTATATTTGTTGCAGTGGAATATGTGTAGAAGTGAATTTACTATGGTTTATGTTTTTGATATCTAGAGAATAGAGTTAGACATTTTTGAGGTTTTAGTTTTTGTCACGTTTTTGCCGTTTGCTGCTTCTGTTTCCCAGTTAAAAACATTAAATCTGTTTCACATTTCTGTTCTCTTCAGAATTTAATACTTTATGCAGATACAGTACAACATGCAAATTGTATGAAAATATTTTTTCAATAGCTATTTTCAAGTTAGAATGATCATCGCCATCTTATGCACTGTCAGTATCTTTGTGACGTTAAATGGTACGTAAGCTTACTTTACAAATGCAAAGGAACGAGTAATAGGTTTATTCCATGCTGAAAAGAAGAGAAAACACAAGGTTTCAGCTGTGAAGCCAGGTCTTCACAGCCGAAACATTGTGTTTTCTTTATTCTCTTTTCAGCATGAAATAAACCTATTACTAGTTCCTTTGCAGACTACACATGCTGACACAGCTACCCACCTGAATTACCTTTAAAAATTTTCACAAGGGTGCTTAAATTGTCTGTGAAATGCAGGAAATGTCTTGAGGGATAAATAAATTCAACATCCACCCATTTTCTAGCCAATTCTTCCAGTTCAGGGTTCTTGGGCAGGAGAAGCCTAACCCGGCAACCAACAGGACAGGAAGGCAGGAGACACCAGGTGCCAGCCCATCACAGGCCTCACACACAGACACAAAAACACTCACACCAGGGCCCATTTTCTCAGAAGCCAATTAACCCAACAGTATGGACTGTGGGAGGAAACCGCAGCACCTGAAGACAGCCACATGAACATGGGGAGAACATACAAATGCACACAGCACCCCAGGGACCCAGCGCTATGAGGCAGTAATGCAGAGCACTGCGCTACCATGCCTCCATAACATTCAACTTTTAAAATTTGAAGTTACGATGTAACTGGGAAGGTTTAATAAACTAAAAGATTTCTTCATCCGGGATCTTCATACATTGTTTATCAGTCTGTAAAATCAACTTTTATGAATTTCGGCCTATTTTTGCCCAAACTACTTAATATCCGAGACATTTGAAGGTTTCTTTGCATGAACAGCTACCTTCAAGTCCATTCATAATGCCAAATTTCTTTCTCAGCCATTGTGTTGTAAGTCTGCTTGCATGCTTAAGATCACTGTCTTACTTTAGGACCCACTTTTAGCTTGGCTTCAGCTGGCAAATGGATGGCCTGGCATTCTCCTCCGGAATTTGATGATAAAAGGCTGAATTAATGGTTCTGTCGATAATGGCAAGCCATTTAGGCAGCCACAAACGATGATCCTCCCACTTGGGAAACTTTGGAAGGGCAGTAGTGCTCTCTTTAGAGAGCAATGGTTCTTCCTGGCTATTCTCCCATAAGAATCATTTCCATTCAGTATTTTCTCAATGGCAGAGACCTGAACACTGACATTACCCACAGTGAGATAGGTCTGCTGATCCTCAGATGAACTCTCAGGTTCTTTGTGACTTCCTGGATATTTCAGGTATAGTAGCTCTTGGGGAGATCTTGGCAGGACAACAAGTCCTGGGAAGAGTCACAGCAGTCATGAATATTATTCCTTGGTCGACCATCTATCTGACCATGGATGAATGGAGCTCCGAATGTTCAGGGATGGTTTTGCAACTGATGAGCATTAACGACTCTTTTCCTGACATCTTTTGATCACGTCCTGATGTGTTTCCACTAAACTGTGCGGTGGAGACCAAATTCCTGAAGGTTTCTGACTATATTATAGGACAGGGCTGTCCACAGTTATTCCTTGTTACTTTTTACCAAATTATTTAACAATTTAAATTATCTCCTGAATTGTGCTAGTTGTTCACTTATTATTTCACATACTTTAATTCTTAATTATGTTTTTTGTTTGCATAATAAATCATATAAAAAAGTGAACTGGTATATAAAAACCCCTTTGTTATTTAAGATAAGACTAGTTTCACTTAAC